GGTATACTGCTGCTGAGATTGATGCTGCAGACCTCTACTGGAATGCTATCTGGGCTAAATTATCAGGGTAAGTTGCATAGACTCGACTTAAAGTTCCCTGGATAATAGGAGATGATGGGGTGGTCTAATTATAAAGTTTAGGATAGATGCAGAGAAACAGTTTTCTTTGGTCACTACAGACGAAGAGTGGGGGACTCAATTACTAGGGGTCACGATTTCAAGGTGAGAGGGGAAAAGTTTAAGGGAGATATGTGTGGAAAGTTTTTTACGCAGAGGGTGGTGGGTGTCTGGAACGCATTGCCAGCGGAGGTGGTAGAGGCGGGCACGATAGTGTCATTTAAGATGTATCTAGACAGATACATGAATGGGCAGGGAACAGAGGGATACAGATCCTTGGAAAATAGGCGACAGGTTTAGATAGAGGATCTGGATCAGCTCAGGCTTGGAGGGCCGAAGGGCCTGTTCCTGTGCTGTAATTTTCCTTGTTCTTTGTTCTTAGTCTTAAAATTATATTGAGGCCACGTGGGCAATGTTAAAAAGCACTTTTCCGTGATAATTGTAGTTGAAATTTGCAACACTTGCCAAAATGTTTTGGAGCCAGGGCAACTGATAATTTGAGAAGTAATATTACTCGATATTGTTAGGTTATTTAGTGACAGGGACACAAGGTGGCTAAATCGAGATCAGCCTCAATTATTTTAATGGCGAGAAAAGCTCAAAGAACTAAATGGCCTCCTCATTTTCCTATGCTCCTTCAAATGACAGATTTTCTCCTACACTTGCCAGTACAAAATTTATAAAGGGAGCAAACAGCACAGTGTCGAGAGAGGCACTTCATATGATGCATGGCTTACAACTGCTGCAGAGCTACAGTGACACTGCGGTCATGTGATGTAAATAATTGTGCTATAAATAAATGAGAATCTTTCCTATGAAGCTGGTAAATCTCATTTTCTGTGTTGTGCAATATGTAATTCCTCATGTCACAATGCGGTCACATAATAAACATATCATGTTATAGTCTTTAATCACTTGTGAGCCAACTTTTTTGGTTCTGTGCCCAATGTGGACCGACAGCCACGTAAAATGGGCAAGTGATCTGTAGTATTTGCTGGAATATGAAAGGCTCACCTCAACTGAGTGCTGGTTGTGTGTGAGTGGACCTGATCTCAGTATTACCTAAGTGTTATCGATGTCAAAATGTCACCATGTTTACACAGTTGCTATTTCTATCAGGGCGGCTGTGGTTAGCACTGCTGCCTCACAGCGTCAGGGGCCCGGGTTCGATTCCACCCTGTGTGGAGTTTGCACATTCCTCTCCCCCCTACTATGTCTGCATGATTTCCCTCTAACAGTCCAAAGAAGTGCAGTTAGGTGGATTGGCCAGACTAAATTGTCCCATATTGTCCAGGGATGTGCAGGCTAGGTGGATTAGCCATGGGAAATGCAGGGTTTCAGGGATAAGGAAGGGGTCTGGGTGCGATACTGTTCGGAGAGTCAGTGTGGACCTGATGGGCCGAATGGTCTGCTTCCACACTGCAGGGATTCTGTGACTTAGCCTTTTTTGCTCTTCAGTACGAGAAAGGTTAGGGTGAATACTGTCAGCCTCAAACATTGAAAATTCTTGATACAACTAGATGCCAGTTTGACTTCTTGGATTTCGAACTGGAATCTCATATTTCATGCATCACTCAGACTGTGGTACTGTAAATCTGAAGGAGGGTTGTGCTGCTGGGGGGTGCTGTCATTTGGAGGCCAAAGCCATGTCTGTCCTTTCATTTCAAACATGAATGTCCCCAAGGTGCTATTTCGAATAGCAGTAGCGGAGTTCTCCCTGGGGGTACTCTGGCAACATGTATCTTTACAACCAGCATGTTTTTCGAGAAATGTCAAGAATGTGGATTTATATAATACCTGTAACATAGTGAAGTGTCTCAAGCGGTTTCACAGGAGTGTTATCTTATGCCATTAGACATCAAGCTCTGTGAGGACATAATGAGGCAGTTGATGAAGAGGGAGATTTTATGTAGTGTCCCACAGGCAGAGTGTTTTAGGGAGGAATTACACACCTTAAATGTAGGCAACTGATGGCATTGGCTGCCAGAGGTGGAATGATAAAAAATCAGAGGCTAATGTTTGGGGGAAGGCAGATGTCTTTTAGAGTAATAAGGCTGCAGGAGATTCTGGAGATAGGGAGGGTTCAGGCCGTAAAGTGAGAATTTTAGGTTGAGGCTTTGCTAGACAGGATACCACTGTAGCTCAAACTGGGCACTGCAGAGATGGGTGAACAGGACTTGGTGCGAGTTAGGATATGGGCAGCAGAGCCTGGATGCCCTCGATTTCTGTGAATGGTGAAGCGTAGGACGCCAGCTGAAGAGAATTGCATTGGGTGAGTCTGTAGAGGGCTGAAATGTTCTGACGCAACGCGCGAACTGAGACAAGGGGCAAACATGGGCGACAATATGGAGTCAAACTGACGTCAAGGTGATGGAGAGATTATGGGGTCAACTGCTCAGTTTAAAATGAAGTAGAACACCAAAAGTAGCCAATAGTCGATTTGTGGTGAGAGAGCGGGGTGATATCAGTGGTTAGGGAACAATGTTGATGGCAGGACTGAGTTGTCACCCTTCCCAACATTCACATGAAGGAAATGTCTGCTCATCAACTCTGGGTTGTTGGACATACAGGGACAGAGGCAGCTGAGAGGTCAAGCGAGGTCAAGGTGAGATGAAATAGGACATTCTCAAAGGACATCTGGCACCTGACTTTCTGATATTCCTGAGGTGCAACATGTCAAAGCTTTGCTGTTGGTGGGACTTTAATGGGAATAAATTGACGACCATTATCCCTAGATTCAAACAACAGTGACAATTCAAAAGAATGTAAAACATTTTGAGACAACCTGAAGGCATGAAAAGTACTTTCTGATATTAACACTGAATGCTTGACTTGTGTTGATGATTGGGAGTCGGCATGGACAGGAGGAGGTGATGCCAGGGGCTTGGGAGAGGATATGGAGACATCTAAACATCCCCGACCAATAAAACTAAAAGCATTAAAGTCGGAAAGTTCAGAGTTTATTCGATTGAGTCAATTGATTTGTAGTTTCAATAGCTAAAGAAGGTATTTCAATCCTTACACACAACATGGGTCTCGGTTGATGGTGGTCAGAGCGATGTATTTGAACTTCATTGTAACTTCCTGGAGTTGTCCCTTTGGGAGCCATGAACGGCCCTTCTTTTTGCCCTGGTGATAGCCTTCATTATTTGATCCTGATGTAATTTGAGTTGTAGAGTCAGTTTCATTGAGTCATACAGCATGCAGACCCTTCGGTCCAACAAGTCTGTGCCTACTATGTTCCCAAACTAAACCAGTCCCATCTGCGTGCATTTGGCCCTTATCCCTCCAAACCTTTCCTATTCATGAACTGATCCAAATGTTGTAATTGTACCTGCATCTATCTCTTCCTCTGGCAGTTCATTCCACGTATGAACCAGCTTCTGTTTTGGTCTAGGCCCGAAACGTCAGCCTTCCTGCACCTATGATGCTGCTTGGCCTGCTGTGTTCATCCAGCTCTACACCTTGTTATTTCAGATTTTCCAGCATCTGCAGTTCCTACTATCTCTGTTTTTAAACATTGCCCCTCGTCCTTTTTAAATCTTTCTCCTGTCACCTTAAAAATGTGCCTTAAAAATTTTCATGTTTTCTGCAGGAGTTTCCAATGTAGCTATCCTGATTCTGTTTTTTCACCTGTTCTTCAGCCCTAGCTATTCTTTCTCTTCTGATTTCTGTTATACCTTCTTTGTCTTGAACTATTTTCATTTCTGTCAGTAACCGTGCGACTGTAAGAAATAGGAACAGGAGTAGGCCATTCAGTAGGATCATGGCTGATCCAATATTCCTCACATCCACTTTCTTGTTCTTTCCCCATAACCATCGATTCCCCGAATGATCAAGAATCTCTCTATCTCAGCTTTAAATATACACAGGGACTCTACCCCCACAGCTGTCTGAGGCAAGGAGTTCCAAAGACTCTCAACCCTCTGAGAGAAGAAATTCCTCCTCATTCTCAGTCTTAAATTGGCGCCCCTTTAATTCTGAGACAATGCCATCTGATCCTACAATCTCCCAGGAGGGGGAACATCCTCTCAGCATTTACAGTGTCGAGTCCCTTAAAAACCCTATGTGTTTCAATGAGACTGCCTCTTGTTCCTCTAAACTCCAGTGTGTAGAGTCCTAACCTGTACAGCCCTTGCTCATAAGGCAATCCCTCCGTACCCAGGAATCATCCTCATGAACCTTCTCTGAACAGCCTCCTATGAAATAATATCTTTCCTTAAATAAGGGGGGCAAAACTGCTCACATTACTCCAGATGTGGTTCGGTTCCACCCTCGGGCGACTGTCTGTGGGGAGTTTGCACATTCTCCCCGTGTCTGCATGGGTTTCCTCCAGGTGCTCCGGTTTCCTCCCACAGTCCAAAGGCTGTGCAGGTTCGGTGGATTGGCCATGCTAAATTGACGATAGTATTCAGGGATGTGCAGGCTAGGAGGATCAGCCGTGGGAAATGCAGGGTTATAGGAATAGGGTAGAGGGGTGGGTCCTGGGTGGGATGCTCTTCGGAGGGTCAGTGTGGACTCAATTGGCTTCCACCCTGCAGGGATTCTATGATTCTCTTTCCCTTGACTTGCTGATTGTTTCTGCAATTGTCTGTTTTTTTGTATTTTGGACATGATGATGTTCTTCACCTACAGTGCCAACGTGAAACTGTCACAAGTGTCAATTACGCTCCGTGCTTAAAGATACTGCACCATCTTTTAATAATCACCCGTGGCTCCTTTTACATTTGGAAAGTTCTGCTGAGGGCAAAGAGGATGAAATAGAGTCAGTGGGAATTTCACCTGGTCAAAATTGTTCACATAATGGAGGATGTCCCTCACCAATAGATGTGCAGTTAATATTGTTATGTTAACCACATCTTTTCTCCCTCTTCTCCTAACAGACTGACACCAATGCAAGCTATCTACGAGCCGCTCGAGCGGGCAATTTGGAGAAGGCCCTTGACTATATCAAAGCTGGAGTTGACATAAACATCTGCAATCAGGTTTGTGCACTCTGCATTCATTCCCGGCTTGACTTTGATGTGAGTCTTGCTGAAACACGTCAACACCTGGTATATGCGTTTTCTCGTCAAATTCCTGCCCAGTTTCCAAATCGCGCAAACTCTCAGAATATTAAACTGACGAGAGAGCATGCAATTCATAGATTAGATCCTTTACCCCTTGATCACTCTGTTGCAATACTCCGAGGCAGAGTGGGACAGGCAAGGAAGAAGAAACCTTACTCGGGTAATTCATTCTGCGCGTTATTATATTTTTCCATTCCCAGTGCTTCAAGTAGAAATCTAATGGTGTCAGTCTCGGCTCAGCAATGGACTCTTATCCCTGAAACAGAACGTTGTGGGTTCAAGTCCCAGCCTTGAGACTCGAGCACAAAACTTAGGCTGACAATCCGATACGGAACTGAAGAAGTGTTACACAGTCGAGAGGTGTTGTGTTTCAGATATGAAGTTAAACTGAAACCCTCTTGTGTGTGCACAATATCCTGTGATAGAATTCAACGAAAAGAGGGGCAGGTTTTCCAAATTCCTGGCCAATTTTTATCCCACAATCACCATCTAAAACAGGTTATCTAAATGTCACTGCTTGTGTGCAAATTGGGTACCATGTTTTTATTAACTTACAACAGTGATCTCACTTTACAAATGCTGCATTGGCTGACAAATACTGTGGGTGTTTTGAAGTAGTGAAGGGCACGAGGTATATGCAGGATGCTTGAAATCTTCGTTCCAGGGTCAGTGCTAAATCAGCAGGACATAAAGTGGCGGATTAGCATTAATCCTTCCGTACCTCTGAAAAAGCTGAGCTATTTTTGGAAGTTACATGGTATCTACCACAGGGGAAAGAGGTTGGCAAGGGCTCCAGGTGAGGATGATCACCTCAGGGTGTGGTTAAGGATAAGTCCAGAGTAGTCAGACATGCAAAATGTGGGAAATGGATTGATGTGCCCAATATGATGCCATAACACAATGTGGTGATGCTGACACAGGGCTATCTCAGCGTCAAAATGTAGAAACACGCTCAGTAGGAACAGGAGTAAGACATTTGTCCCCTGCAGCCTCCTCTGCTATTTCATATGATTGTGGCCAATCTTGTATCTTGATGTCATTTTCTTGCTTTCTCCCTGTTACCCCTTGATGCCTTTAAGATCTGAAAACAATCAATCTGTTCCTTGAATATAGTGAGTAACCAGGCCTCCACAGCCCTCTGTGGTAGCAAATCCCACACGTTGACCACCCTCTGAGTGAAGAAATGTTTCCTCATCTCTATCCTAAATGGCTGACACCGAAGTCCTAAGACTGTAACCCCTGTTACTAGATTCCCCAACCAGGTTAAACATCCTCTCTGCTTCTAGTCCACCCAATTTTATATGTTTCAATCAGATTCCATAAGACCGTAAGACATAGGAGCAGAAATTAGGCCATTCAGCCCATCACATCTGTTCCACCATTCAATCAGGGCTGATACGTTTCTCACCCCCATTCTTCCACCTTCTCCCTGTAACCTTTGATCCCCTTGACAATCAAGAACCTATCTATCTCTGTCTTAAATGTATTCAATAACCTGGCCTCCACAGCCTTCTGTGGCAGTGAATTCCACAGATTCACCACCCTCTGGCTGAAGAAGTTTCTCCTCATCTCCATTCTAAAAGGTCTTCCCTTTACTCTAAGACTGTGCCCTCGGGTCCTAGTCTCTCCTACCGATGGAAGCATCTTCCCAACATCCATTCTGTCCAGGCTATTCAGTATTTTGTAAGGTTCAATTAGAACCCCTTCATCCTTCTAAACTCCATCAAGTATAGACCCAGAGTCCTCAAACGTTCCTCATGTTAAACCTTTCATTCCTGGGATCATTCTTGTGAACCTCTCTGGACCCACTCCAGGGCCCGTACATCCTTCCTGATACTCTCAATATTCTAAATGTGGTCTGATCAGAGCCTTCTAAAATGTCAGAAGTACATCCCTGCTTTTATATTATACTCCTCTTGAAATAAATGCCAACATTGCATTTATCTTCCTCACTACCAACTGAACCTGCAAGTTAACCTTCAGAGAATCCTGGACTAGAACTCCCAGATCCCTTTGCTTGCAGATTTCTGAATTTTCTCTCCATTTAGAAAATAGTCTATGCTGTCATTTTTTTTCCTCAAGTGCATGACCTCACACTTTCCCACGTTGTACTCCATCTACCACTTCTTTGCCCACTCCCCTAACCTGTCTAAATCCTGCTACAGCCTCCCTGCCTCCTCAATACTACCTGTCCCTCTACCTATCTTTGTATAGACTGCAAACTTAGCCAGAATGCCCACAGTTCCTTCATCTGGATCATTAACGTATAAAGTGAAAAGTTGTGGTCCCCACACTGACCCTTGTGGAACACCACTTGTCACCGGCTGCCATCCTGAGAAAGACCCTTTTAACCCCACTCTCTGCCAGACAGCCAATCTTCTCTCCATGCTAGCATCTTGCCTCTAACACCACGGGCTCTCAACAGCCTCCTGTGTGGTACCTTGTCAAAGGCCTTCTTGAAATTCAAATACACCCCATCCACTGGTTCTCCCTGATCTAGTCAACCAGTTACATCCTGAAAAAACTCCAATAGATTAGTTAAGCATAATTTCCCTTTCATAAACCCACGCTGACTTTGCCTTATCCTGTTCATGCTTTCCGAGTGTCCCCTTATTACTTGACCATTTTCACCACTACTAATGTTGGGCTAACTGATCTGTAATTTTCCGTTTTTCCTTCTCTCTCCCTTTTTAGATAGTGAGGCTACATTTGCCACCCACCCTCCAAACTGTAGGAATTGCTCTAAAGCCTGTAGAATCGATTATAGAATCCCTACCGTGTGGAAGCAGACATTCGGCCGTTTGAGTCCACACTGATCCTCCAAACAGCATCCCACACAAACCCATACTCCCATCCTAACCCTGTTGCCCTGCATTTCCCATGGCTAATCCCTGGACAGTATGGGCAATTTAGCATGGCCAGCCTACCTAACCTGCACACCTTTGGACTGTGGGAAGAAACCAGAGCACGCAGACACAGGGAGAATGTGTACACAGACAGTCGCCCGAGGATGGAATTGAATCTGGGTCCCTGACGCTGTGAGGCAGCAGTGCTAACCTCTGAGCCACTGTGCTGCCCATAATCCTGAGATGATTACCTTTGAGTTCCTGCTTTCTTACTTTATGTCCTGACTCCCTGTACTCTGCTTGTAGGACTATATCCCTTTTCGTAACCTATGCTGTTGGTTTCGATATTACCATGACAACTAGCTGTTTACCCTCCCAATCCCGCATGTCCTGTAGCCACTTTGAGATGTCCTTGACCCTAGCACCAGGGAAGGCAACGTACCATCCTGGAATCTCTTTTGTGGCCACAGAAATACCTTTCTGCTGCCTTTGCTATTGAATCTCCTTTCGCCAAAGCCCTGCCCCTCCCCTCTTGGACACGAGAGCCACCTTTGGTGCCATGAACTTGCTGTCCCGTCTCTCCCAACACTATCCGACACAGGGAGGGGTCATCCACAGAGACTCGTGCAATAACTGCCTTCCTTTACCCATCTGATGGTTGCTTTTCCCCTTTCTGCCTGTTAATGTTTATCTGTGGTGTGACCACCTTCAGTGAACACGCTGTCCACCGTAATCTCAGCATCAGCGAGCCCACCCGCTACTCCAGCTCCGAAACATGGACTGCGTTTCCTGCGCTGAGAAAATAGAGGCTGGGGAAGGTGCTGTAAACGAGCTGAAAACATCTGTCTATGGTTTCCCACATAGTGCAGCAGGAGCATGTCATGTGTGCAAGCTCTGCTACTGTGACTAGACTAACCTCTTCAGTTAGTCCCTTTAAGGAATACTAACTACACTGGGGACCCTTTTCCTCAACTCTGAATACTCCCATTACAGTCCAAAATCCTACCCTTATTTTGTTTAAGCTCATGGCTTACAGCAGTTCTTTTTCCATAGAAACCCTACAGTGTGGAAACAGGCCCTTCGGCCCAACAAGTCCTCACTGACCCTCAGAGCATCCCACCCAGATCCATCCCCCATTCCCCATTCCCCACCTAATCTACACGTCCCTGGACACTATGGGCAATTTAACATGGCCAATCCACCTAACCTGCATATCTTTGGACTGTGGGAGGAAACCAGAGCACCCGGAGGAAACCCACGCAGACACGGGGAGAATGTGCAAACTCCACACAGACAGTCACCCGAGGCTGGAATCGAACCTGGGTCCCTGGTGCTGTGAGGCAGCAGTGCTAACCACTGAGCCACCGTGTTGCCCTGTTAGTTAGTTTTGTTAGTGGAAGTAGAGGATCATGTGAGAGCAGTAGGAGAGATAAGCAGAGACTAGTGAAGGGATGACACTTAGAAAGACCTTTGCAATTTGGAGTAGGTGCTGTGAGTCTGGTGAACAAAAAGATTGAGTGTTGGTGAAGAGGGGGCAGTCATCAGGAGGCTGTAATGATGCAGGAGGTAAAATAAAAGGCTGGCAAGTATTAGACCAGTCAGATTTGGATCATGAGAGACGTAATACCTGGGAGTAGGTGGTCCTGCAATAAGTCCTTCAACTTCCGGCTTTCAAAAGGTTAACTTTCTTTGACTACAAGTTAGAAGTATGTGGTGCCATGGCTTTGACCCAGACCTGGGTGAATGTCCAGGAGCGGTATGCTAAAATCCCACCATTCAGCTTCAATATTTGATTTCAGTTTAAAGTCAGGAAACTATATGCTGATGCCATTTAAAAGTGACTGTGAAGCTATTGAGTCCATAACAACTCAAATAGTTGACAAATATCCTTCAGAGAGACATGCCATATTTAGCTGGCCTAGCGCATATGTAACTCCAGTCCCATGCCAAAGGGGCTCCCTGTAACTGTCCTCTGAAATGACCGTTGCATCAGGGCAATGAGGGGTAGACACTGAAAACTACCTTTGACAGTGATGATTATATCCAGCTGAGTGACTTCATCTTAAAGGC